TCATTTCTGAATAACTATTTTACAAAATAAAAAGAAATTGATTTTTTTTTTTTTATATCTCCCAAAAAAAAAAAAAAAATGGGGATAACATATTAGAAGTCTAATTTAAAAAAAAAAAAATATTACAAAAAACTAAATAATTGACATAGAAAATCTAGCTGATGAATTCCTCGGAAGGGCAGAGCATTAGAAGCTCAAATACATGACCCAAAGGTCTTAAATCCTAAATTGGTATATCAACTTAAAACAGTCATAATTTTGATTCGAAAGGAGTTACAGAAGCTGTAAGATATCAATAAGAAGCTCGTTTCGAGCTAAACGTATGACTAACCCGGTACCCTACTTAGGGGTCGTGTTTTGGGAACGTTTAAGTTTTCTATGCGTTTTTCCTTCTTTATTTAGAGTTCTTTCTTATTTTATAATCAGTCAACAGTGAGAATTTCTTTTTCTAATTATTCTTCATGTTTAATTAGGATTTTATTTCTTTATTTAATTAGGATTTGTTAGGGTTGGTTGTTACCATTCTATATAAACATATTATTCGTTTTTTTTTTTTTAAATGATTTTTTAGATTTTCCTTCAAGCTTTATGAATTAAGTTTCTTTGGTTGTAACTTGTTTATCAGCCCTAAAAATATCATGTGCTAACCTTGTTTTTACACTAACTCTCTGTGTCAATAATGAAAATATTGCCTACTTTATATGAATTGACTTTTTAATTTTAAAAATTACTGAGGTGTTAACTTTAACAACGTTAGAGACTTACAGTGATCTTTTTAACTCACATTTAAAACATGTTCTTGTTTTCTGAAAACTTAAACGTAAATAAATAATCTCCCATAATAATATTAAAATTACTTGATAAGGTTTTGTGTTGGCCGGGACCATATAATCTACAATTTTAGATAACAAAATAATAATAATTTGCTTTTATAGTCAGAGTATTTAAGCTAGTTTACACGTACCTTAATTAATCATCCGAAACTCACTGTCAGTTGGGTAAAAACTCTAATGGCTATTAGAATTGTCGACTATTTCAACATTAATGGGTCATGTAGACACATTCAAAAATCCCGCTGAAGTATTCGACAACTCCAACAACCATTGGAGCTTCTTCCATGTATAACCGCTGAAGAATTTTTTTTAAGTTATTAATTCTTATTAAGTTTGGGCTTAGGAATAAGAATCCTTGTAATACTAGGTTTTAGTCTTTTAAACCTAGTATATAAACACATTTTTCTATTGTAATGAGTGATAGCAAACAATAAGATAAATTCATTCATTGTAAACGAGAGAGGTGAGACAATATTGAAATAATATTAACTCTGCTGAGCGTAACCTATTAATTAGATGAATTAAGATAAATCTCGCGTATTACTTTTTCTATTTACTATTTGTGTTTGTGTGTTTTCTGTTATTTTATTTTCGTATTACTCTTTATTTCGTTCAGTAGCTACCCCTATTAACAACTGAGAAGAGAATCGAACTCAAGATCTCTTAAGTAATACATCCAAAGTTCATAATGAACTGCTTGACCACCCAGAGGCAGTTTATAATAATTTATGTTGCCGACTCATTAAAATAATTGTAGTTAAAATTTGTTGTAATATGTCAGTGTTAAGTTGTTGGAATCAGTTAGCAGCGAAGTCTCCATTAGTCCATTTTTTTTTTTATCCAATATGAATTGAAGAAGACGACAACTTAACTCCCTTTAAATATTTTATCATTTATTAAAAATTTCATTATCTAATCTGTAACCACATAATTGTACATTGTCCCCATGTTCTATTATGGCACGCTTTCCCCATCTTCCAATTTGATGAAAACCAGCATGAGTGATTATAGAGGTAGCAGGTATCTCCCAGCTTGAACGAATCTGTAATAAACAGACTTCTCACACAGAACTATACAGATCATGACATTATTTATCCCCAAGTTTATTAGATTGAAAGAGATCTGCGAGAAACCAAACCCCTGAGCCTTTTTTTATTTTATTTTTTATTTTTATTTTTTTTAAATCGTTGAGATTGTTTAGGTCAGTTTGCGTACACTTCAACTAATCTTACGAGGTTTTGAAATTGTTGGCTAGGTAAGAGTCCTAGTGGTCACCTTTATTAGTGGCCAGGGGAACTCAAACTTAAGACCTCATGAAACCTTCTTTTTGCTCTTGACTTTTATCATCAAGTCATCCAGTGGTAGTTCAAACCTGTGCACCACGTGACCTTTCAACTTTCAGGCCTGATCGTTTTTGTTGTTGAAAATTCACCCTGAAGCCACCACTAGAATCCCCATCCTCTCGTCTCTATAAAATTGATCAGATTCGTGCTGCCTTTGCACAACCCACTCCCACTACGCGCCTGCTGTATTCAGGCCAAATCGGCCTGAATTCGATGTCGTTGAGCATTCTCACCGCCACCAACAGACTCCCCACAACCCGTTAACAAAACCCCTCTCTATTCCAAGCGATTCCAACCCCTACCGCTGGTCGTCGCACATAGTTGACTCGCGTGATTCTAGCCTTTTTCTAGCCAATCCCGATTTCGACAACCCCATCCACCACCACCACCACCCTTTGGCTCACTGACTTCCCCCTACAAAACCTCTAACCTTCTCGACCCTGACAGCCCATCATTCGTCGTCCACCACTCAACCTAGGGTTTGTTGCATTTTTTTGAAACTGGTTGTTGAGGATTGTTGTTTGATGAAATTGAAGTGTTTTTGGTGGTGGAATGTTGAATTTTGGTGGTCGGAAGTGAGTTGTAGCCTAGTAGGTTGGTTGGGGACTTTCCACAAACAGCTTGAGGGTGGCAAAAGAAAGGCCGACGGATGACAAACGATGAGTGAGGAAGGTGATATGAGGGCGGGTTTTGAAGAGGGGGAATGGGGTTCAAATGATGGTGGTTGGGTGGATTTCCAATGAGGATGTCGATCGGAAAGTGGCTGCAAAGAAGGGGGGTTGCGAAGACGAACGGTTATTGTTTTCCGACGAATGACCGAAGCAACGGTGGCAGGGAAGGCTGGAGAAAGGTAAGGAGGGTGCAGGGAAGAGTGAGGGACCTGATTTAGGTGGAAAAGTAGCTGAAAAATGGTTAAAATCATCAATATGGTGGTGGTTTGGAATGGGGTGAAGGGCAATTTGGTAATAGCACCTACTAAAACCCAACAGTAACTAATAATGTTATTTTAAGGGTGAGTATTTAGAATAAATTAAACTAAGGTTATTAACTTGGGATTTCCCTAAACCTCAGGTGGGAATATGTCATTTAGTCTATTAAAATTACTTGATAAGGTTTTGAGTTGGCCCTGACCATATAATATGCAAATTTTTTTTCTTCTAAATAGATAACAAAATAATAATAATTTATGGTTTATTTTTTTTTATAACTGGGGTATTTTGATCAATTTGCATGCACCTCAAACTAATCTTCGAGATCCATTGAATACCTTACAAACTTAAAGGATTATGTAAGTCATAGTATAGTAAATGGTCATAAGGTTCAAACCCAGACACTTAATAAAGAGAGTAAACCGAGTTAATAATAATTGAGTAATGTTATGTGCACTAACCAATTTGTACCTAATTCAAGTACTAACATTAAAAATTTAAATTTATTTTTTTTAGAGAATTTTAAATTTTTAATGTTAATACTTAGATTAGTACAAAATGATTAATACACATATTATTATCCATAATAATTTATGTTGCCGACTCCAAAGTTTTTTCCCATTAAAATAATTGTAGTTTAAACTTGTTGTACTATCAAATATGTCGGTGTTAAGTTGTTGGAGTCAGTTAGCTGCGAAGCCTCCATTTTTTCATCCAATATTGATTTGAAGAAGACGACAACTCAACTCCCCTTAAATATTTTATCATTTATTAAAAAATTCATTATCTAATCTGCAACCACATATTTGTACATTGTCCCCATGTTCTACTATGGCATAACCTGTGTTTTTAATATTAATACATGCCATAAATAACAATATACTTAGCTGCATGCTCTGCCCATCTTCCAATTTGATGAAAACCAACATGAGCGTGAGTGATTATAGAGGTAGTAGCAGTATCTCCAGCTTGAACGAATATGTTATAAACAGAATTTTTTTTGTTTTTTTCTTATCCTTGAGAATGTCCGCTCTAGTTTGTGCTCACCTTTTATAATTCTCCGAAGTTCTAAAACTGTTGATCAGGTAAAAGTCTCAGTGACCACCCTTATTATTGGCTAGGAGAATTCGAATTCAAGAGTTCATAAAACCTTATTTTTGTTTTTTTACTATCAGGTCATCCAGTGATAAGTTCAAACTTGAGTTATTTTTATCACATCTGTTTCAAACATTCGTCCTGTATTAATGTTTGTCTTCATCACTTTCTAACCCAAACACTTACCTTGTTCATTTAAACATTTACTGATGTTTGTCTGCCAATAATTTGAGTGTGTACTATTTTGTACAGCCAAAACTAGCTCTCTGAATCATCTGTGTCTATCAGAGTGAGACCTCTCACCTCTACAGTACAGACTACAATAGAAGAAAAATAACAATGAAACCAACAGTAAGGGATGGAACACACATGCTTTGCTGGAATTGGTTTGTCCATACATGCATGGAATTGAAAGAAACAGGATCCGTGTTCGCGTCACATGGGACATCCACATGAAAACATCGAAACCAGCTGGGGTTATCGACAATGCACCCAACTATTTCATTTGGATACTTTCAAAATATAGCCGTAAGTTGCGGAGACACCAACATATGTAATCTTCTTCGACAACTCTTGAGCTTTACAGCCTCTTAATCTTCTTCCCCTGGAAGAATTCTGTAAACCGCAGAAGTGGCTTAAATTTTGATGGGTTTAATAGTATATGATTAAACAATTGCATTATTATTCTCTCATTTTGCTGCATACTTATATTTATATGTTGAGAGTATTAGAGTGAATAAATATTTGAGTAATCCGAGACAAGAGACCAAACATTTCACTTGCTAGATTTGCAGCCAAGATTTCCGAAAAAAATATCTCAATCATTGCCAAATCAACAGCTAATAATCGAATCTATCTCATACAGAATACATAAATTTCTTATTGTTCTACACTCAATAGTACTATGATAAATAAATTCCCCTCCAACCGGCAAAATAAATAATCCAAGCCTCAGAAAAAGCTTGGACGCAATGCTGATGAAAACAAGTCTAGGACCATCGAATGAGATAGTAAACATTAATGAGGTAATCTATTTTGAAGCGCCGTTGGCTAACTCGGCAGCTTTTCCTCCAGATGGGTTCAGCTCATCCCATGCCTCAATCCATGTGACCATGGCATCGGCCAACTTGATAAAGTACTCATCAACCTTACCAAGTTTTGCCTTAACGTGCTTGGAGAGTTCAATGTAGCACTTCTGAACAGTCGTGCATTCCTTTGGAAGGGTGGTAGTTTGGAAAAATGGGATGATCTCCTCTTGCCAGTAGATTCCTTTGTATTCCTTCTTAAGATTCACGAATGGGTTGCTAGCTTTGCTGTGCCAGATGTAAGGCAAACCGGTCTTCACTCCAAGTCCTAAGTGGTCACAGATAACCTACAAAACAATGAAAAGCAATGGCTGTTGGTTAAATTTCAACAAACAAGGCCACTTATCATCACAGGTATAGCAGCAATAAAGATCTGCGAATTGAGTGATAAGAATAATGTGAAGAATACCTTGGTGCACCATCCAGCCCACATATCGTCGTAGCGCCCAATTGGCTGACCATCGCCCATGAGACCAAAGTACATTGCAGGGCCAATCAATTCACGGTTGAATCCCAAATTCATACCGCACATGGGGAAGAGGGTTCCCTTTGGAATGGTCATAACCGCATCAACATACCTATTTGATAATTAAATAGGATTAGAACACATCAAATTAAGCATATGCATAACCTGGAACACGGAAGCATTAAATATCTTTCTACCTAGTGTTCCTCTCACGAGGCTTGACAAGCTGGGTGGGAGCATCGTAATCTGGGATGTTAAGCCAGAGGCCATGAGAAACGGCGGTGGGGACACCCTCACGGAGACTGAATGGATACCCACGGACAAAATCTGCACCTGCTTGGTATGGATCATACAAAGTATTGAAGAAAAATGGGGTTGATGGAGTCAGAAGGTTCTTTATGTGCTGCTCCAGGGCATTGATGTCTTTGCCCGATGGCTCTTTAGCAACCTGCAACTCAGTAAAGACTCTAAAACTTCAGATCCACAAAGCATGTCATCGTAAAATCTAAACAAGGGAAAAAACTAGAGGCAATGTTCGCAATACATCAAAATAGATTCAAGCAATGTGGGAATCGAATGGCAATAAATAAAGTCCGAAAGTGATACATTCAATATATGCATGCAACAACAAACTGCCAGATCTCACAAAGAGTTTAAATGTAGCTAAAAGATCAATGAACATGTGAAATTAAAACTGAATGCCAGCCCTCTAAACATAAATGTTTGAACAAAGTTTACACAGGCACCTAGGAGTCCGATGTCAAAGATTACGATTCATAGTTAATGAATCAACTCTTTCTAAACAGACTTACTTACCCAATAAATAACTAAGAATCAAAAAAGTTTCAATTATGAGGAAACTGGTATCATAGTGATTCAACAATTATGTTCAATTTAGTTAACTGATAAGACTCAAATCAGATCTATTTCGAGCAACACTAGATTACAAAAACAGCAGCCTGTACAGCAACTGAGACTACCAAAACGAGCAAGATGCCAAGATCAAAACTTTCACCGAAAAAACCACATCAAACCCAGATCCAAACTTCATACCCCGAAATCAAAACACCCCAGATCCAAAAACTAAAACAGTTCGAGAATCCAACAACACAACTCAAATCAAGCAAAGATCCAAACTTTCTCCACAAAAACTGGAAACGAAAACCGAAAAAACAAGGAAGAACCATTATACTTACAAAGCAATCATCATCAATGGTGTAAATATACTTCTTCTTGGAGACCATGAAGCCGAAGCACCTGCAAGCAGAGTCCTTGAAGGATATACAGGAAGCCTTGGGACCCAAAATCCGGTTGATATCGTTCCTGTTGTAGAGCTCGTAGTCAAAGCCTTCGGGAACCTTAATAACCTTGGACGGATCACCATCTTGAACGATGATCAAGTGGTAAGGCTGAAAGAATGGCCTCCACATCTCCAAGAAGTCGAGGTTCCGAATGGTGGGGATGACGATGTCGAGCTCGTCCTTTAGGAGCGGAATTGGAGACACGGGCGTGGCCATGGCTGAGCTCGAAAGGGTTCAACTGTAAGAAGAAGAAGAAGAAGAAGAAGAGGAAGAAGGAGAAGAGGAAGAGACTTTTTTGGAGAAGAGAGCAGGGAGGTGTTTGGATTTTTATAGTTGAATTTGAAGTTAACGTATCGATTGGGTCGGAAATAGGTCGGGTCGGTTCGATTCGGGTGAACGTGTCGAGCACGTGGGAGTTCAAATATTTCTTAGTGGCCAGGGGAACTCAAATTAAGACCTCATGAAACCTTCTTTTTGCTCTTGACTTTATATCAAGTCATCCGTGGTAGTTCAAACCTGTGCACCACGTGACCTTTCAACTTTCAGGCCTGATCGTTTTGTTGTTGAAAATTCCCCTGAAGCCACCACTAGAATCCCCATCCTCTCGTCTCTATAAAATTGATCAGATTCGTGCTGCCTTTGCACAACCCACTCCCACTACGCGCCTGCTGTATTCAGGCCAAATCGGCCTGAATTCGATGTCGTTGAGCATTCTCACCGCCACCAACAGACTCCCCACAACCCGTTAACAAAACCCCTCTTATTCCAAGCGATTCCAACCCCTACCTGGTCGTCGCACATAGTTGACTCGCGTGATTCTAGCTTTTTCTAGCCAATCCCGATTTCGACAACCCCATCCACACACCACCACCCTTTGGCTCACTGACTTCCCCCTACAAAACCTCAACCTTCTCGACCCTGACAGCCCATCATTCGTCGTCCACCACTCAACCTAGGGTTTGTTGCATTTTTTTGAAACTGGTTGTTGAGGATTGTTGTTTGATGAAATTGAAGTGTTTTGTGGTGGAATGTTGAATTTGGTGGTCGGAAGTGAGTTGTAGCCTAGTAGGTTGGTTGGGGACTTTCCACAAACAGCTTGAGGGTGGCAAAAGAAAGGCCGACAAATGACAAACGATGAGTGAGGAAGGTGATATGAGGGCGGGTTTTGAAGAGGGGAATGGGTTCAAATGATGGTGGTTGGTGGATTTCCAATGAGGATGTCGATCGGAAAGTGGCTGCAAGAAGGGGGGTTGCGAGACGAACGGTTATTGTTTTCCGACGAAACGAAGCAATCGAGAGCAACGTGGCAGGGAAGGCTGGAGAAAGGTAAGGAGGGTGCAAGGAAGAGTGAGGGACCTAATTTAGGTGGAAAAGTAGCTGAAAAATGGTTAAAATCATCAATATGGGTTGGTTTGGAATGGGTGAAGGGCAATTTGGTAATAGCACCTACTAAAACCCAACAGTAACTAATAATGTTATTTTAAGGGTGAGTATTTAGAATAAATTAAACTAAGGTTATTAACTGGGATTTCCCTAAACCTCAGTGGGAATATGTCATTCTCTATTAAAATTACTTCATAAGGTTTTGAGTTGGCCCAGACCATATAATATGCAATTTTTTTTCTTCTAAAGAGATAACAAAATAATAATAATTATGTTTTTTTTTTTTTTTATAACTTGGGTATTGGATCAATTTGCATATACCTAAACTAATCTTTAAGATCTATTGAATACTTTACAAACTTAAAGGATTATGTAAGTCATAGTATAGTAAATGATCCTAAGGTTAAACCCAGACACTTAATAAAGGGAGAAAACCGAGTTAATATAATTGAGTAATGATATGTGCACTATCAATTTGTACTAATCTAAGTATTAATATTAAAAATTTGAATTTTTTTTTAGAGAATTCAAATACAATGTTAATACTTAGATTAGTACAAAATGATTAGTACACATATATATCATAATAATTTATGATGCCGACTCAAAGTTTTTTCCCATTAAAATAATTGTAGTTTAAACTTGTTGTTACTATCAAATATGTCGGTGTTAAGTTGTTGGAGTCAGTTAGCTGCGAAGCCTCCATTTTTTCATCCATATGATTTGAAGAAGACGACAACTCAACTCCCCTTAAATATTTTATCATTTATTAAAAAATTCATTATCTAATCTGCAACCACATATTTGTACATTGTCCCCATGTTTACTATGGCATAACCTGTGTTTTTAATATTAATACATGCCATAAATACAATATACTTAGCTGCATGCTCTGCCCATCTTCCAATTTGATGAAAACCAACATGAGCATGAGTGATTATAGAGGGTAGCAGGTATCTCCAGCTTGAACGAATATGTTATAAACAGAATTTTTTTTGTTTTTTTCTTATCCTTGAGAATGTCCGCTCTAGTTTGTGCTCACCTTTTATAATTCTCCGAAGTCTAAAACTGTTGATCAGGTAAAAGTCTCAGTGACACACCTTATTATTGGCTAGGAGAATTCGAATTCAAGAGTTCATAAAACCTTATTTTTGTTTTTTATATCAGAGTCATCCAGTGATAAGTTCAAACTTGAGTTATTTTTATCACATCTGTTTCAAACATTCGTCCTGTATTAAGTTTGTCTTCATCACTTTCTAACCCAAACACTTACCTTGTTCATTTAAACATTTACTGATGTTTGTCTGCCAATAATTGAGTGTGTACTATTTGTACAGCCAAAACTAGCTCTCTGAATCATCTGTGTCTATCAGAGTGAGACCTCTCACCTCTACAGTACAGACTACAATAGAAGAAAAATAACAATGAAACCAACAGTAAGGGATGGAACAACATGCTTTGCTGGAATTGGTTTGTCCATACATGCATGGAATCGAAAGAACAGGATCCGTGTTCGCGTCACATGGGACATCCACATGAAAACATCGAAACCAGCTGGGGTTATCGACAATGCACCCAACTATTTCATTTGGATACTTTCAAAATATAGCCGTAAGTTGCGGAGACACCAACATATGTAATCTTCTTCGACAACTCTTGAGCTTTACAGCCTCTAATCTTCTTCCCCTGGAAGAATTCTGTAAACCGCAGAAGTGGCTTAAATTTGATGGGTTTAATAGTATATGATTAAACAATTGCATTATTATTCTCTCATTTTGCTGCATACTTATATTTAAATGTTGAGAGTATTAGAGTGAATAAATATTTGAGTAATCCGAGACAAAGACAAACATTTCCCCGGCAACGGCGTTATAAAATTTTTTTAATATGTTCAACGCAAAACGACATCGTGCCCATGCTACTGAAATGGAAGACAGTTCAATGGAAGGTGGTGATGGTTTTATATAAAAAAATAATTAAAATGGTGATTTGATCTTTCTTATTTATAAGTTGTAGAATGTAAGGAAAAAGTGCATTTTGTTAAAAGTCATAAAATATTAATCAAGACTTAAGAGGAAAAAATAAGAATCATGGATAGCATATGGTAGGATCATAATTCTCAACCATAATTTTGAATATTTATTGTACACATTATTTTCATGTTGCTTTTGTTCCACAGTTTTTGGAACATTGTGGATGAAATATTTTGGATTCATCCCGTACGGTAGTGTTCACAAAATCATTTCTGAAGAACCATTTTACAAAATAAAAAGAAATTGATTTTTTTTTTTTATATATCTCAAAAAAAAAAAAATGGGGATAACATATTAGAAGTATAATTTGAAAAAAAAATATTACAAAAAGCTAAATAACTGACATAGAACATCTAGTTGATGAATTCCTGGAAATGGCTATGTCAACTTGAAACAGTCATAATTTTGACTCGAAAGAAGTTACGAAACCTGTAAGATATCAATGGGAAGCTCGTTTCGAGGTAAACGTCATGACGAACCCGATACCCTAGTTAGGAGTCGTGTTTCGAAAACGTTTAAGTTTTCTATGCATTTTTCCTTCTTTATTTAGAGTTCTTTCTTATTCTATAATTAGTCAACAGTGAAAATTTCTTTTTCTAATTACTTTTCGTGTTTAATTAGGATTTTATTTTTTTATTTAATTGAGAATTCTATTAGGGTTGGTTGTTATCATCATATATAAACATATTATTCGTTTTTTTATTTTTTAAATGATTTTTTTAGATTTTCCTTCAAGCTTTACTAATTAAGTTTCTTTGGTTGAAACTTGTTTATCAGCCCTAAAAATTTAGTCATGTACCAACCTTGTTTTTACACTAACTCGCTCAGTCAATAATGAAAATATTTTTTTGTGTGCCTACTTTATATGAATTGACTTTTTAATTTTAAAAATTACTGAGGTGTTAACTTTAACAACGTTACAGACTTTCAGTGATCTTTTTAACTCACTTTTAAAACATGTTCTTTGTTTTCTGAAAACTTAAACGTAAATAAGTAATCTCCCATAACAATATTAAAATTACTTGATAAGGTTTTGTGTTGGCCGAGACCTTATAATCTACAATTTTAGATAACAAAATAATAATAATTTGCTTTATAGCCGGAGTGTTTAAGCTAATTTACACACACCTCAATTAATAGACTCACTGTTAGCTGAGTAAAAACTCTAATAGCTGTTGGAATTGTCCACTATTTCAGCATTAATGGGCCATATAGACGCATTCAAGAGTCCCGTTGAAATATTCGACAACTCCAACAACCATTGGAGCTTTTTTCATGTATAACCGCTAAATAATTTCTTTAAATTATTAATTCTTATTAGGTTTGGGCTTAGGAATAAGAATCCTTGTAATACTGGGTATTAGTCTTTTAAACATAGTATATAAACACATTTTTCTATTGTAATGAGTGATAAACAATATGATAAATTCATTCATTATAAACAAGAGAGGTGAAACAATATTGAAATAATATTGACTCTGGGCATAGCCTATTAATTGGATAAACTAGGATAAATCTCGCGTATTACTTTTTCTATTTAGTGTTTGTGTTTGTATGTTTTCTGTTATTTTGTTTTCGTATTACTCTTTATTTGGTTCAGTGGCTACTCCTATTAACAATCAATAAGAGATTCGAATTTAAGATCTCTTAAATAACACATCTAAAATTCATATTGAACCACCTAACCACCAAGAGAGTTTATAATAATTTATGCTGCGGACTCCAAAATTTTTTTCTCATTAAAATAATTGTAATTAAAATTTGTTGTAATATGTCAGTGTTAAGTTGTTGGAATCAGTCAGCTGCGAAGTCTCCATTAGTCCATTTTTTTATCCAATATGAATTGAAGAA